TGGGTTCCTCGTCATCGAATTTGAAAACCATAATAAGTTGTTATTGCTTATAATTCTGCTACATTTTTATACCCTCACCTGGTCGATCAGCCAGATTTCTGAAGGCTTATAACGCTAAAAATCGGGTTTCGATACTTGCGGTAGGCACAGCACGGATAGCCTATTGAATAGCTTTATGCTTAATAACAAACAAACAAAACATCTGGTTTAATAAGTCTGAAGAGTGGTTTCTTTCATTTACCATATAGGCCTTCCTATGTAGCTGAAGGGGTTATACATCTACTAAAGAAAGACCAGTCAAATGGTGCGGTATTGAAGGTTACAAAAAAAGATGGATTTCAGTATGTTCTACAAAGCAGAATCTCCTCCTGAGATCCAGGAAAAATAAATGCTACAAATAAATGATGTTGCTAAATAATAGGATGTTAGTTTATTCCAATATATATGTGTTAATATTTCAGTTATAGTTTCTTGAAGGTAGTCTAAAAGGGATAATAGAATATTATTGTCTCAACATTGTAAACTTTCTCGTGCTGTTTTCGTGTTGTACATTTTGTTAGTTTCAGGTTAATACACTATTACCTTGAATAAAATTTTTATTTAAGCTGGTGTCTTCACCTTTATTTTAACAGTTATTATCCTCATGATATTAATGTCGTTAGTTGTCATTCACGATTCTGTCACCAGGGCATATTTGAATTTTTGTTTTTGGGTAGTAATGAAATGTTTATGGAAATATTGTTGGCATCTTATTGCTTCAGAATGTTATAAATATATTGATTTATAAATAGTATTATCACAATTTTAAAAAGGCATAATAATAGTGTCTGCCAAAGAAACTTTGTCATCTTTGTTTTAAAACAAGAACATTATAGTATTATAAAATATTCTATCGTTTAACGGGCTAATTTAGATTATTTGGTAAAGATAATGCCAAGTTCAGGCCACATAACGATAATTTATTTATCCTATAACATTTTCTACAGGCTATGTTCACTTTGACACAAGATGTAGGTCTAAGCTCACAAACAACGTTTGAATAGGAATTCCGAGACTAATGGTATGCCTAATTTAAATGAAATTACTGACAGAAATTCCTTGCTAATCGATCGATTAACTTAATAGACGCAATAGTTCTCACTCCAAACATTCAACTGAATCATTGAAAACTTCACACACATTAATTACTAATTTATAATACACTTTCGTTTCTCCAAATTTCACACCAATTCTAGATTAATTACATCACCACCATTATCAACTCCCTCTAGCAATAATTAAAGTTAATACATTGAAAATACAGCTTACAAGAAGAGAATTTATTGTGTGCTAAATCTTCTTATAACCTTTTATTCTTCATGCACATCTTTTTGTCTTATCTAATACGTATCTAACGATAAATAAGTACAGTGAATTGTTTTTATATGTTAATTGCATCGTTTATAAGTATGATAGTTTGTCTTGCACAACAAAATTGAAATATATCTGTTATTGATATTGCTACGACGACGGAAGTCACGCGATGCTGGAGTTTCTAGAAGGATCGTGACTTAGCAGGCAACGAATGTCCCAGCGTTTGCTAGATGCCCTCTTTTTTAGTATATAAGCCGAGTCAAGTGAGCAGTAGTCACCGTAAGTAAAGTGTGTGAATCGCTGTGAATTATAGCGTGT